TCCCTGGGGGACGGACAACAGAAAAGTGGGTGAAGGGAGACGTCGGACAGTGTAAGACATGACAAAATAATAATAATTTATAAATTATCAAGGGTATGAACATGACAAAATAATAATAATTTATAAATTATCAAGGGGGAGTGGGGAGCGGGGAGGGAAGGGAAAAAACGAGGAGCTGATACTAAGGGCTCAAGCAGAAAGCAAATGTTTTGAGGATGATGGTGGTAACAAATGTACAGATGTGCTTGACACAGTGGATGGATGGATGGATTGTGATAAAGAGTTGTACGAGCCCCCAATAGAACGATTAAAAAAGAAGAAGAAAGTGGTGAAGCCGATACCTTCATAAGAGCCAACGTTGAGTAGGAATCAACTTCACAGCAAGGGCTTTGCTTGGTTGGTTTTCTCAACCCTGTCTACCCAACCATGTCTTCACCTGCCCTCACCCTCTCAGGAAATGCAGGTTGGGCTTCATGTGCTGATGGTGACTGTCAACAGAGGCTTGAAATGCAGAGGATATGCTAGAGAAACCTGATTCATGTGGGATTGAAGGACACCTATCCTTCAGAGTTTTCGGACGTGTGTGAAATCGATAAGTGCATGTCAAAATTGAGCCTCTCCATCCTCCATCATGCATGAAGGATTATCGCAGGCTGCTGTAGGCCAGGCTCACACTCACACACAAGGGTGTGCTGGAGGGCACGCCGTCTGTAGCCTGTGAGTTCTCACAGAGCATCAAAGAGACTCCTGAGTCGCCTGCCGGAGAGCCTCTCTGTATTGGAGATGTGGCTCCAAACGTGGGGAAATCAGCATGTTCCGAAAGTGCTTCATTCCTTCCCCCCATGGAGCCTTGCAGGGGCCTGTAAGCAGCTTGGGGTGTCTACAAATAAGCTGCATTGTAAGGTCAATAGTGACTCTTGAGGGTGACTTCCTTTGTTCCTGGGACTTTAGGACAACATTTTGGATGTAGTTCTTATGACCCACGTTCCCACAGAGAAAGAAGGAGCCCTGGTAGCAGAGTGGATTCTGCACCGAGCTGCCAACTGGAAAGTCAGTAGTTCCCAGCCCACCAGTTGCTCCACAAGCGTAAAACGAGGCTGTCTGCTCCAGTAAAGATTTATGTCTCCCAAACCCAAAGGGGAGTTTTACTGTGTTCTCTAGAGTCACCATGAGTCGGGCTTGACAATCTGGCTGTGGGTTTGGGGGGAGTGTAGGAAGGAGGTGAGATGGATCAAATATGTATGGATCTATGTTTTTGCCCTCTCGGTAATAAACTGATTACTTAGATGTTTTCTGATATCACAACATTTGACATTTTGACGCTGAAGGATATTTTGGCTTGTTTTTAAGCTGTAGAGTGAAGGGTTGGCTTGTGCTCTTGCTCCAAGGATTGGAAGACAAGTTTGTCGAGATGAAGTTCCTGTGCAAGTTTGGGTTATCAGGATGAGCTGTTTCGATCCTCAGGCAATTTCCCCACTAGTGTTGGGTAGGAATAATGATCCTAGCACAAATACGATGGTGGCCTGTGTGAGCTCATCAGAGGAGTTCTGGTGGTGCGGGGGTTCCCCATTGGGCTGCTCACTGCAAGGTCTGTAGTTTGAAAGCACCAGAGGAAGACAGGGCTTTCAATTCCTGTAAAGAGTGACAGTCTCAGAAACTCCCAGGGGCAGTTCTACCCTGTCCAACGAGGTCGCCAGGAGTTGCCATGACTCAATGGCATCGAGGCTTTTCTTGGGAGTGTGCAATCAGGGAGCTCTCTTAGCAGCTGCATCCCTGCATCCTCTTTTACTGCCCAGACCAGGCCCCTATGGTTGGAGCAGTGTCCAGTGTGAGTGAGACCGATTACAGTCCACTCAATGATGGTCTTCTCTGAAAAGTCTACTCTTTGGTAAGTAGTTTATTAATCTGAAGGAGAACTACAGAGAGAGGAATGCTAGCTGCATGATAAAGCCCCGTGGAATAGTCACCCCAAGTTAAGAGAAACATTGAGAGGTTGAATTACTGGACGAAGGCTAGGAGAAGGACCGGGATGGAGAGGCCTCTGTTCATGGCTTCCCTTCTCCCTCCAGCTGCTGCCGCCTCTTGGCTTGGTGAATCTAGAGTGCTGGGTGTGTGCAGGTTCTAGAGAAGAGCCTTCCAGGAGGGTTAGCTCCCTGGCGAGAGAGACAGGGCACAGCAGACAACTGGAAGGGATCAGAGTGACTAAGAGCAGGGACTGGACATCAGACAGATTCAAGTTTTGGTTCCCTCTCTGCTGTTCATCACCATGAAGCTGTTACTAACTCTGCCTCACCCTCTGCATTGTACAGCCTCTGTTGACAGGGTCAGTCAGCATATCCAGTCATTACTGTATTTCC